CAAACTTTTTACCTTGTTATTACAGGTACACTATTTTTCTTGTTCATTTGCTCTATAACACAAAATAGAGGATTGTCAAGATGGTTTTACAGCTCTCACTTGACTGTGTTTTAAGTTTTGTTTAAAAGAAATATGATGTGACAGAGCACTTGCCTCATTCGCCTGAAGCCCTGGTTTCAATCACCAGTCCTGCCAAAAAAAAGTGCCAAGAAATTTTAGTTTTATCACATTAACAAAGGTCTCAGGAATATAAGTATGCAAATACATGCATGCACATACACCTTAGTGCAGTGATTCTTTTTCTTTTATCACAGTCACATTATCAGTGACTGTTTAGAATTAGTCATAGAATTTATGGATTTTATCATTTCAGAATGTTTCTAAGATAGCCATTTCCCTTTCCTAATTTCTTTATTTGATTTGTGTTTGTTTTATTAGAATAATTCCTATGCAATTGAAACAAAGACAGGCATACTTTCTTACTGTTGACATGAGTAATAACATGTGATTTTATCCTCAGCGATGGACAAAACAACTCTATATTCTGTAAGCTCTTCTTCCTCAAACTTTATAAATACTCCTTCATTGACTCTTAGTAATATCAGGATGAACAGATTTATTTACTTTCATTTATAATCAGTGTGTGCACTGGCATGTTTACCGGCTTACACAAATCGTTTAACCCAGCTCCTGGTAGCTGTTAGGTTTTCTTCTGCATTCCATTTGACACACCACCAACCTTTATTGAAGACTCCCTTTCTTTCTGGCAGGACAAGATGTTGTGGGGTTCTCTTGTACTTTCCCAGATGTATAAGTAGGGAGCCCTGATTCTTTTGGTCAGAGGGGATATATATCTGATCACTGAGTGTTCTCATTATTCCTTGATGACATTACTCTTAGATCCTCTCAGTGGGCAACACTGGAAAATTGTGTGTGTGTAAGATTATATACATGCAAATCTATAATCTGTACATATTCATAATATGTAAAGCTAAACATGACTTCATTCTTCTAGTTCTGGCTCTCATCTGGCATCACAGGTTAGCTCTAGTCTCTCTACCTCCTTGTTAACCTGTAACCTTCCTTTCTCATGGTGAAACACCATCTACATTCATTTACCTATTGGTTCAACCCAAGGACATTATGGAAAGAAGTTTCAAAATTGTGAACCTCTATCGCATGGAAAGTAGCTTACAACCAGAGTCCAGTGATATTTGTATAGTTCATCTTTTCTTTAGCCTTACTTATAGTCAGATATCTCTTCCAATCACCCTCTCCCCTCTCTTCTCTTGCTTGAAGTATGCCAATACTTCCAGAGTCCAGTTAAATTCATTTTTAAGTCTTCATTCCATCTGAGGATATATCAAAATTCTGATTTGTATTTAAAATTTATGTACATGTAAGTTCATTTTTTATAATGCACAATTCTGTGGGTCTTGGATGTGTAGAGTTCTGTGTGTACCACCTCAGCCCCTGCCAAGAAGTCCCCTGTATATCTCTTTGTAATGAGCTACTCTGTCCTCACCAATCACAGGTGACCATTGATCTAATTTTTGCGATGGTAGTTGCACCAAGAATGCCATCTTAATAGAAACATACACTATGTAGCATTGAGTCTGAAATGTTTAATTTACCTTAATGCATTTAAGGTTCATTTGGGCAGTTATGCAAATCAATAGGTCATTTACTTATATCACTAAATAGTGTTTCATTATATAGCACGGCTTTAGTTTAATTTGTCCATTCCTTTGTTGAGGGATATTTGAGTTGTTTCAAGTTTTTATTTTTATTTTGGTTATCAATATTTCACATACATGTTTTACTGTGAACATAAAATTTTAATTTACTTAAATAAATACTTAGGAATGCTAATGCTGGTTTCTATGCTGTCTATGTTTAGCTTTACAAGAATTTATTAAGCTATCTTCCAAAGTGGCTGTACTATTTACATTATCACCACCAATGAGAAAATGTTGCTGTTTCTACACATCCTTAAAGCATTTCTAAGGACTTTTTATTATTTTTACCTATAGGAAAGTCTACCCAGTTTACTAGTTAGTTCTTTTTCTTTCTTTTTTTTTTGTCTTTTGAGACAGGGCCTCACTATGCAGTTCAGGCTGAACTTGAGCTCACTTTGTAGCCCAGGCTGGCCTCGAACTCACAATGATCCTCCCGCCTCAGCCTCCTGAGTGCTGGGATTACAGGCCTGTGCCACCACACCCAGCTTACTAGTGAGTGCTTTAGCCTCTGCTTTTTCCAGCTTGCAATGCAAGCCACAGTTTTGGTCCCAGGATACTGATTCTCTGGGGACCAGGTAACCGTGTCTGATATTACAGTAGGTGGAGACAGTGTTCTCTGGCCTAGAACAGAAGCTGCGTGAAGGTGACAGTGGTACATACCTTTCTAGTCCCTCTGTGAGGAGATATCAGTGTGGGCCTCCCCTTGATGATACAGGAACACACACACACCCATCCTTCAATACAGGGCAGGCTGGATGGGACTGGCTTCACTCACAGTCACCTCCTGCTGAGCCTTTTTCTCCACCATGGTGGTGATAGTAGCACCCCCTGCTCGAAGGAACTGGAGCCTCTTAGGGGACGTCTTCTTCACCAACAACTTATCCTCAGCCACGACCAGCATTGCTGTCTGTTTCTGGCACTGTCTCTGGGCTGCTCTTAACCATCTGAGTAGCTGTGGTATGGTCTAAGGCTCGTGTGAGCTGGTGAGCCGCAGGGACACTGTCAGCAGTGGGTGGGTAACTTTGGGGCTGGGTGACAATATTCTGAGGCTTCTTTTTCAAACAGAGGATCTACCTTCTTGGTCTCCATGATATCAGGGCCCCGGGCCACTGTTTCCCCTTTGACCTCCTTTGCGTTTAGCATCTTGAGCAGCTGGAGCCCTCTCTGCCTTGGCCAGAATATTTTTACAATGCTGAGAGTTCAACCCAGGGACTTCACACTGAGTTTCATCCCAAACCTCTTTGTTTTTTGTTGGTATTAACTGCGGTGACAGGTCCTGAGAACAAGGTTCCAGCAGATGAAAACGTAAAAGAGATAAGAAAAACAGGAGAGGCAAAAGTCTGGGATCAGGGGGCTTACAGCCTCTGAGACTGTGGCCCCGATCACTCGTCTCAATCACCTTTTATTCAAACCAAGCACATAATCAGACCAACAGGAGAAATTCATTATCCCTTTCCATTTCTGTCTCTCAGCTGATGGTAACCATCCTCGGGCGAGCCTCCCACACCCCGCACCAGTGCCCTCAGCACGGCCGGGGATCATAAGCCGACCATCAGTAATCAGTTCATTAGCAATCACAGTCCTTTCCCCACACCTCACGTGATGTCTTTGGCTGTGTATGTCTCTGTGTCTATATAGGAAAACAGTCCTATTAGATTCACAATACATTGTGAACCAGTATAAATTCATGTTCTCTTAAGCACATCTGCGAAGACTCTATTCCTAAATAAGGTTATTTCTACAAGTGTGAGTGTTGATTTTAGAGAGACACCGTTGAACCTAACACAAATGCTAAGTGATTGGTTTCAATGCTGCACAATGAGGAACTCCAGCTGAACTAGCCCCTCCCTTTATTATGGCAATTTAATCAGATAAAGTCTGAGGAAAGCTTGGTGCTAAGGACCACACAGTTCACGAATGAATTCTACTCTGCCCAGCTGCCCACTGTCTCAGGCTACTCTGCTTCCTTTTTCTAGTTTTACTGGGATGGGAAAGCAGGGTCAGTGGGAGTCTACTTTTGCTTTGTTTGAATGCTTGATATGGGTACTAGAAACTTCTTTGTGAATCTGATACACAGTCTGCTTAATATGGCCTGGAAGTCTTAAATTTTTTACTCTATCCTTTATAGTTTCCTGTACTCACACATATTTTTCTTTCTTCTTCTTTCTGTATTTATTTGGTCACATCAGTGAAAACTTTTATGGAACAGGCAAAGGAATTACTAGGTTTCATTTGACATCTTCACAGATACTGAAGAGAATCCTATTCTTTTTTATAGGGTTCTAATCTTGTACCTTGTACAGAGCAAGCATTTGATGAGTATTTGAAGGGAATTTGTAGTAACAGCTACTAAACATGAACATCAGCAAAGAAGAGTTCTGAAGGGTGGGAAACCCTTTGAAATTGCAGCCCTGAAACTCTATGGCCTGATTACAGCAGTTGCAGAGCAGGAAAGAAGGAAGCAATAGACCCATGCTGAACGCTGACGGGCACTGTGAGACAGCCTTTTCAGAAGTCATCGGTCATCACAACAATGCTGTGAGACCAGAACTTCTCCCATTTTTTAAAGAAGTGAAATTCCAAGTTTACTTAATTTAGGGTGACATAATTATTAAGTGAAAAAATGAAGAAATTGCCCTTTAAAAGTAATTTCAGTTTTCCCGGGACCAAGAAGTTTCACTGTTCCTTACCTACTCTTAGACAAATTATTTGTTTTATCATACACTGCTCATTATATACATAACTGTACCTAAGTGCCTATATGACATTTGCAGAGATAATGTCCTCCACAGCACCCACGGTGAACCATGACTTTATGACTTGGAAGTTCTTTTGAATCCTATGTCCCATGAGACTCATGAGAAGACCAGGAGAGACTCCCAGATGGGCAGCAGGGCACTGACCAGTGATGTAGAATGAGGCCCCTGAAATTTTCCATCCTTTACTTTTCCCACGCCACACCTTTCCATTAACTTATTTTCACTTCTCAGCCAGATTTTATAGACAAACACTTCATGAGTGCTTAGTAGGTTCCAGGCATTGTTCATGCAAGCTCAGGAAGCTTTAGGGAAAAACACAATCAGGAAGGATGCGTTGTGTTTTTAGGAAAGCCAAGATGGAGGTGTTGACAAGCCCTGTGGCCAGGACCAGTTCCCCGGGTCACCCGTCTCACTTCCACACGGCTGAGAAAGGACAGTGTGTGGAGATAGAAACAAGGCAGAAAGACAGAGCTCCAAAGAAGAGCGAGAAAAATACACTTACCCTGTTCACACAAGTGCGAAGCTGGTGACTCTCGATCAAGTAAGGAAGTTTGTTGGCAATTTCCATCCAGGGTTGGTAATAATCAGGAAGTTCTTTCTGCATTTAGAATACAAGCATCTCAGTATTTCTGACCTTTCTGGGAAGCATCTTCAAAGAATAGCTGCCTTTAGATTTCAGTCTTCAGAAGAATTGAAGTCATTTCCACTTGGTGAACACTGAGAACTGACTGTGTGCTAGGCCTCAGGCCAAACAATGCAGAAGCACAGAGGGCTCAAATACAATTTTTGTCCTTATGTGGCCTAGTACGGGAAGACAAATGTGCTGCAGGCAGACTGACCCTATCGCAGCATACTATATTTAATTTCTGCTGTGTATAAGCTTAAGAATTTGCTAAAAAGTAGGACTAATTCTGTCAGTTGTGGGAAAAAAAAGTGAAATAGTCATAAAAATATGACAGTTGAGTCTAGTTTTGGAGTAGGAACATGGTTTTTGAAGGAAGATAGTAAAGGTAGAGATGATAGCAGGAAAGCAGATGTGTGTTCCCGGACTGTGAGTTGTTCAGTGTTGCCCCAGTGCAAAGCTCAAGAGACAGGATTGGTGCAAGATGAGTGACGGAATTCAGGTCATGTATGCTTTGTGTAGATTATATTTTTTTTTCTTTTGTGTGATTTGGTGTTACAATTTGATTTGAATTTCAGGGACGTAATTGTGTGTGTAGGATTTTACCACATAAATCACCTAAGGCGGCCTATGAAATATTCCTCAAAGACTGCACTTGAAGATAGTGAATTTGGACAGAGTGTATATTTAAGCTGTATTTGGATAATGAGAGGGAGATGATGTGATGATTCCATGTAGGGCTAGCAACTTAAGGAAATCTTTCCTTCTAATAGCCACATGTGTGGTTTCCCTATGGGCCCATGGTTCACCTCTATAGAAGAGACTATAGATTTCAGTTTCAGTGTCCCAGCTGTAACTCAGAGGACAGCAAATTGCATCTGTCTTTAGGAATCAGGTTTTTGTGGAAACCAGCTACTCTCATTTGTTTATATACTATCTATGATGCTTTTGGATGAGAGCAGTCGAGGTAACCATATCAGATAGCATCTGTTAGACAAAGCTTAAAGCTTATTTGGCCCTTTCCCTAAGACCTTGACAGCCTCTGCTCCAGCCCAGTGACTTGGGCCTCCTTTTTCCATGTACAACCTGGACAACTGAAGGTAGTGTTTGTAGGTGACTGACTGAATGGGTGATAACACAAACTGGGATAGAAATGCAGGTAGAGGTGAAACAGTGAATGTAAAGACAGGGAACTTATTTTTAAATTTATTAAGCTTAAAACACCTGTACAGCCAGGCAGGGAGGTGTACTCTGCAATCCTAGCTACAGAGGAGATTGAAGCAATCACGAGTTTGAGCCAAGCTTGGGCTTCTCTGTGAGACTCTGTCTCAGAGAAAAATTTTTAAAGGAAATAGGGTGGGGGTCTTAGAGTGCAATTGAGTGGTATTGTGCTTGTGTACCATGTAAAAGACCCTGGTTCCATCCCCGGTACTGCTAAAAACATTAAAATAAACTTTTTAAAATAAAAGTCTGTGTAACCCAAAGTTATGACTTTACTGAGAAGTTTGAGGATCAATATAAAATTTATATGAGACTGTAACTGCAGAAAAACTGAAAAGTGTAAAGTGTTTCCGAAGATTTTGCAAATTGAAACAAGAAGAAAGCCTAGGTTACCACACTGGGGAATATCTGGAGGGCAGTTACAGGAATTGAATCCATGAATATAGATAAAAAAGAAAGTTCTAAAAGTTCAACAAATCATTAGAGATTGACAATATAGAAGTAAGGTATTAGAGGATTTCACAGAAGTAGACAGTCATCAGAAAGTCAAGGTAAAGTGTTTTCCTTTTAGAAAACAAAGCAAGGAAGTCACTAATTCATATCAGTTTTTTCTCTATACATGATGTAGGGTCAGAGTTAAGGTCAGAGCTAGGGAGTAGGGTTCAAATATTAATGTTTTAAGGAAGTAAGGAAAATGTAGTGGTTTCTTTAGCAAAGGGAGAATTTGAGAGTGATGTGCTCTAAGAATAAGATACATGAGCAGCTATAGTCTGCTATTTTCAGAGGGAAAGATGAAATACAGGAGAGAGGGGGGAATATTTAAAGTAGGAGGTGATGGAAGAAGAAGAGGCAATAAAGATTCAAGTGGGACCCAGGGTCTGAAGCCAGTGGTGGGAGGAGATCGAATATTGAAGGCACTCACTTGGCATAGGCTCATCTCAGCATGCTGGCGTCAAGACTGGGTTGTGCAATTTGAGGATGGAGGGGATGAAATTAGTAACAGAGGGGAAAGGAACATGGAACTAGACATGCATACATGTAGATAACATGAAGGTACTTTAAGAACTCATGGAAGCATAAGACTATAAAGTAGGAGAGGTAGAGATATATCAGCTACCCATATCTCACTTGTTCCAGGCCCTATGGTCCCTTAGGCTCTAGGAGAAACCTGGGTTAAAGTTCCTAATTAATTTGTAACTGGGGTATGTTGAATATCCTACCATACTCTGTGAAAACTAGAGATTTTATTTAATCTTTTTCCTTTCTGTCTTTGACCCTGAATCAATTCAAGACAGACTGGGCATATTTTACTAACTTTGACAGCTAATTAAGTTATCCCAGTTGGAAGTGTGGTGTCTTCACCATAGATTTCAGTATTGATAAGGAAGACACTGCACCGTGTTCATGTAGTCTCATAGCATCTCAGGTTCCAGGAGGCACTGGATACTTCACTTCCCCAACCTTGTCCCAGAGAGAAAAAAGTTGATAAGCAGGATTGTATCATTTTCTCCAGCAAAACTCAGCTGTAAGTGCAGAAATACAGAAAACTGATAACTAAACTAACAAAACTCTGGGAATTTACAAAGCAATATCAGAACAAGGATGCTAGCAAGAAGAGAGACACAAACTGGGGATGTAGCTCAGTGGTATGGCACTTGCTTAGCTTGTGCAAGGCCCTGGGTTATATTCTCAGCAAAACACACACACACACACACACACACACACACACACACAGGCAGACAGGTTTATGGTGAACTACTTGTACACTGGCAACTTATTTTTCATTTTGCCTCTGTGATGCATATGTTTATGAATAAAAAAATGAATTCAGTGACAAAAATAATAGAGTAGCAGACTTGACATTAATTCTGTAACATAAAAACAAAGATGCAGAATCATGGTACTCAGAAGTTGCCTTTAAAATGAGTCTCAGGCTGGGGATATAGCTCAGTGGCACAGCGCCTGCCTGACAAGCACAAGGTCCTGAGTTTTTTTCCCAGTACCAAAAAATAAATGAAGAAGGAGAAGGAGAAGGAGAAGGAGAAGGAGAAGGAGAAGGAGAAGGAGAAGTGAGTCTCAATAATAGAAGCTATAATCAAATTATCATTCTTTCTCTCACTCTTTCTCTATTCTTTCTCTTACGCCTAGATAAAAAATCACATGAAAGCCCCCTGGATTTTGGTTTCCTGGCTTGCATTAAAATTCTTAAATATTTTATTTTATTAGTTGAGAATCTGGATTGTACTTTTTCTCCTTCCATTAGATGCCTTAAATGAAT